TTTCAAACTGGAAAGGCAATAAGACCCCTGCAGTGGCCCATGCCAGTACCCGGGAGTGCTAGAGCACACCTCCCAGCCTTCTGGCCACTGCAGAGAGTCTGGAGCCTGGCAGTTTCCCCCAGTCATGCCTTCTCAGCCTCTGGCTGCTGAGGAGTGGGCATGGGGGGAACCCCCCTGGAAAGGTCTCTCTGGCACAGGGGAAAGGAGGAGGGGGTAGCCCCCTGGGGTGTTTCTCCCCCTCTCCCCCATGCCCAGAGCCAGGCAAATCCCTTAGCCATGCCCTTTTCTCCACTGCAGGCAGGCTGAGGAGTGGGCCTGGGAGAACCCCCCGCCCCCCCCCCCCCCCCCCCCCCCCAGTTTGGTGCAGGGGAAATGGGGAGGCCCCCAGTGGGGTGTTTCTCCCTCCCCCCCCATTCCTTTCCAACCCAGAGCTGGTATCCCCTCCTTGGCCACCAAAATCCCCTCCCCCCCAGCTTCAGACCACCAGCTGGGTTGTGCTGGCATGGAGGGAGGAGGGAAACTTGCAGTGGGGGCTTTACTTTCCACACTGCAGCTGGGAGCCAGGCTGATCACCCAGCCATAGCCCCTCCTCACTTGTTGGGCCAGCTGAGGGAGTTGGGGGTTCCTGGCTTCCAACCCAAGCTGGAAGCCAGGAACTGAGCTGATCACCTGGCCATGCCCCCTCCTGGGCTAGCAGGCTGGCTGAGGAAGGAGGTGGGGAATGCTCCCTGCCCAGCTCTGGACCCCTGCTGAGCTGTGTAGGAGGGGGAACAGTGCAGGAGGGGCAGCAAGCCCACAGTAGGGGCTTTACCACCACCCCCCCCCCATGCCAGGAGCCAGGCTGATCCCCCTGGCTGAGGAGGGGGTGGGGCTGGAGAAAATTGGCCTGGTTTCCAGCTGTGGGGGATAGAAAAACCAGGGGCAGGGTCAACCCTGCTCCACTGGAGCAGAGAGCCCAGTCCAGGGCTGCACAGGATCCTGGGATGCTGGAGGACTGCGAGTTAACTTGAATTGGAAGGGGATCTGGGACAGAAGTTCCATAAACTGGTTTGACCTAAATCAGTTAAGTCTGATAGTACATCCATCCAGGTTTATCTTTAACCACTTTCAGCCATTTTGAAAGCGGTTTAAGTGTACCAAACTTCTGTTCTGTTACAGGTTTAAACTGGTTCCTGATCACTTAAACCGGTTTGTGTGTAACTTCTGTCCCGAGCCAAAATGTCAGATTCAGGCCTGGTGTAATGTCACCGACTTACCTAGCACATTAGTGGCATATTATAATTGAAACTGGCCCAAAGGTGTGTTAGGTGTCTGGACTAAATCTCTTTTCTCGCTACAAAGTTACTAACGTTGTATACAGAACAGATAGCAGGATTGCGTGCCCTTTATCTGTATGTGCCTGATGCATAGTGCAGCTGCCTTGACATTTATTACCCTATTATTATCCTACAAAATGCCAGAAAATAAATATCTTTATTATTTAATCTTTGTACTTTTCCTGCATTATAAATATTCACAAAAGGGTCAAGGCCAGAGCTGATTGCAGTGCAATTTAACATAAGCCAAACTATAAAGAAGCCACTTCCAGGATATTTTTGGTAGTTCTCTTGGACTCACCAGTTTCCTTGGTCCTTTCCTGATGGCTCAGGTTCTCGCTCACCAGAAGTTCTTGCTCTTTCTGCATCAGATGTTAACACTTGTTTGCTACATTGCAATTCAGTTTGCATGCAAAAGGAAGTTGGCTTGCGGTGAATAATGCTTTTGTACTGAAACCCTGTCACCTCACCCCATCTCTGTCGCACATGAAAATTAGTGGGAGAGGTTCAACCTATTCTAAGTCCTGTAATTAATAAAGTCATATAACTAGAACGCTCTGTCACATGGAAAAAGCCTAATTATCTTCAAAGAATGCAGTGTTGCAGTGGGCTGCGGTCTGTTAGGAGTCAAACTTATTTTAAAATAAACTAATCCAGTGAGATGAAAGGTCCAACTTTAAAGACATTTACCAATTAATTTTGATAACTGCTTTCAATTCAGAAGAAAAATCTTTTTAAATAGCCTGTTAAGCTGGAGGCTTTTAAAGGTTCTACGATTGCTCTGATTTTATTTTTAGTTACTCGGTAAATACACTGGGACCTATTAAAAGCTATATAGCCTTCTCGTGCACAGATAACTCCCGTAAAAGTCACTTTGGCCCTGATCCTACAAGGAGAGTCACATAAACAGATCCTGTACCAGTGTGAAACCTGATGTGATCAGTACAGCTCTGCATGTGCAATGCAGGGGACTCTGGACCAGGGCCTTATACAGTAATAATAATATCACCTGGCACTTTTCCTCAGCAGATCTTCATGTACTTTACAAAAGAGTTCACTTTTATTACTCTTGTACATGGAGACAGTAAGACACGGAGAGATGATTTGCTTAAGGTTACTTAAAAGGCCATGGTAGAACCAGGATTACAACTCATGCCTGCTAAATTCTAGCTTAGTGTGCTAGCCACTGGGCCACACTACCCAAACTTGTAGCAGGGATATCTGCATTTATCAAATAAATGTAAAACTTACAGCACTAAAAAATGAGGCTTTGTTCTTTCGTCTTTGCTAGATGTAAGCGGTCATGTGTAAGATGTTTTGTGCTGTCAGGCCAACTCCAGTGTTCACATCACTAGCTTGTTCAACAAATTCAAGGGTAAAGGAAGAGTTACAAAAAATATTTGAGGGTTGGAAAAATGCCAGTTAATGAATGGTCTAAAGAATATAATCTCTTTAGTTTATAAGAAAGAAGTCAAAAGGTGGCTTGATTATGCTGTACACGTTCCTGCAGTAGAGGAAAATATCGGTACTAAACGTACTAATTTAGCAGAGCAAGGCAGAACAAAAATTAATGGCTGGAAGTTAAAGCCAGACAAATTTAAGTTAAAAACAGTCTGCACATTTTTAACAGCAAGGATGATTAACTATTGGAACAAATGACCATAGGAAGTGGCAAAATCTCTTTCTTTTGATGTTTTCAAATCAAGCCTGGATGCCTTTCTGAAAGGTCTATTTTAGTGTAACTCAGTGTTTTGGGCTCCATACTGGGCTAACTATGGGTACGTCATTGCAGCACAATGCAGCGCCACACAGAGGTACCTGCTCTAGCTCTGGATGCAGTAGTTTGGACATCAGAAAAATATAACTGCATTAGTGCAGTTTCTTGCCCAGCCAATTAGTCCTGTTCAGAAGCAAAGTAAATTAGCCCAGGTGGACTGCCACTGTAACACAGCCATACTGTTTCTGATGCCCAAGCTAGCTCTTCCAAAACTAGAATGGGAGCCTCTGTGTGGTACTGTATAGGGCTGCATAACCAGATCCTAAGTGGAATTCCATGATTAGTGTTATACAGATGGTCAAACTAGATGAATTAATGGGTTTTTTTTGCCTTAAAATCTACAAACCATCTAGGCATCTTTGAGTCACTTTGAAGGAGGAGTCCTTGCCAAATTTGAATTTGCAAAAATAAGCTAAGCCCATTTAAAAAGGAGGAATAGTTCAAAGGGTAGATGAGGCATAGTTCAAAGGGCAAATGAGAAAAGAAGCCTTTCACTTCTAAATCGCTGCTTATGGACTGACCCAGAGCAGAAATGGCCAAGAACCATTGTCAATCGGTAAGGAATGAAATGTTAAGGGCCCACTTATATTTCTTTAAAGTCTCTCAGTATCCTTTGTGTAATAAGGGGGGATGGGATCAGTTCAGTTAGTAGACAGGCAGGAATAATCTAGTTATATACTGTTTGACCCTCATTATTTTCATTTGTGAGAACTAGATTTTTACAGGTATTTTAGAAACTAAAGATGCAGGCTGGCACTTAGTAGGATTTTCAAAAGCCCTTAGGCTTGAATCTTGAAGGGGGACTAAAATGTGGCCTGGATAGGGATCCAACAGATGAGCTAAATAGTTCCTGGAGAGTTGAGAGACATAGATTCTCTGTCTTACAATGCCGCTAGCCCACCATGTGCCACTGACCAAGTCACCTCACATCCCCATGCCTCAGTTTCCTTCTCTATGAAACAATTGTAATGACATTCAGCTTTGCAAATCACATAGGGGTCTATTTATAAAATTCTTTCTCGTGTCTCATTGTCTAAAGACTGAAGGGCTAATCACACATTCTAGTCTAATTTTCCAAAAAAAACCCAAAGAACTGAATATTATTATTACGCAGATGTGACACTCCTCATCATTCATTTTTAAGTGGCTTCTTTCCATTATGTTTTAGTTCCTCCATAATTGAACATTTGTGTCCACTGCATACAGCAATGGCTGAGCTGCCTGTCTATACCTGTGTATTGTCTGAAACAATTGGAATGAAGAAAATCTGGTGAATGACGGATCGTTGTTATTGTTGCTGGTATTTTTCTCGATCGTGATTCCCTTTGTGACGGCCAACAGGCATGTTGTGCCCCAGCTTTCCTGCTGCTTTTAGCTGCTGAATGGGCAGCTTACTTCAAACACATACGGGTGCATATCAGGGGAGGAAATTCATTGCCCTGTCTTTTGTGATAAAAAACCATTGTTGCTGATTCATTCTGCAACTGGAGGCCTGTTTGGTATGTTTATTTAATTTGTAGCACTGGGTTGTTTTAAAGCCACTCCCGAGTAATGAAGGGTAGAATCGGGGAATATTCTCAGTGGTTATGGGAGCTCTGGCAACAGCAGCTAAGCTCATTTTCATTGTCATGTTTTGCATAGTACTTCATGTTTTTAAAGCACTCCATCTGGGTATTAGCAGTGGCACTCCAGCTCCTTATATCATCAGGCCCCATTATAGGCTTTTCTGCTGGAATTAGTGTCATTTTCATTTTCTGTTACTCTTTTCCTGGCATGGGCAGTTCCAGAGGAAGTGGTATTTTCTGCTTGGCATTTATTCACTTCCATCTACCATGGCTAGCTCTGCCTGTTTATCAGATTGCCTGACTTTGACTGAGATATCCTAACTCTATTCCTTTTTTAACTAGAGCTGACTCCAAGTGTCTCTACTCGGCAATGGGGCTCGATGCCCACCCTGAGGGGTGGTCAGAAACAACCCGTAAGTTCTTCCCTGTTATACAGCTGGCTGCTGCAACCCAGGGCTGGAGCTATAGTTTCTCTAACTGCTACAGTGTTGGTGTTTTGTTTTAAAGCTTATCTCTAAATACATGTATTTTTAGATTTCCAGTATGCTAATGTGCCCCAGCCACCCCTCAAAGTAAAGTAAAGGAGCAGGGAGGAAGGTATACACACTGTTTGGTGTCGGAGTGGGTCTGCCTACCTGTCTGGATGGTGTTAGGTATTATCGTGAGAGTGATAGTTGATGGAACTGAATCAACTTGGTGCACTGTAACCAGTGGCACCCTCAGGGCTCTGTTCTCAAACCTGTACTCTTCAATGTGTTTATAAATGATCTGGACTCAGGTGTTATAAGCAGACTGGCTAAGTTTGCTGATAACACCAAACTCTGCAGAAGTGCGGTCACCCTAGAGGATAGGCTGGCAATCCAGGCCGACCTTGACAGGCTTACAAGGTGGGCAGATCACAACCTGATGGCATTCAATGCCAAGAAATACAAGGTGCTCCACCTTGGGAGAAAGAACCCACACCACACTTATAGGCTCGGCAGTGCTACACTACCTAGCTCCACGTCTGAAGGAGACTTGGGAGTCATGACTGATCACAAGATGAACATGAGGCACCAGTGCGATGCCACACTGGCAAAGCAAACAAAACTCTAGTCTGTATCTTCTGATGCATCTCAAACAAGACCCGGGAAGTCATCCTCCCACTTTACTTGGCCTTTGTGAGACCACAGCTGGAATACTGTGTCCAGTTCTGGGCTTTGCTTTTCAGAAAGGATGTGAAGAAGCTCAAGAGAGTCCAGAGGAAATGATTAGAGGACAAGAGAGCAGGCCTTATAAGGAGAGGCTGAGAGACATGGGACTCTGGAAAAACATAGGCTCAGAGGTGACTCAGTAGCAGCCTATAAGTATATAAGGGGTGTACACCAGGAACTGGGAAAATGTCTGTTCACCAGGGCTCCCTTTGGGAAGACTAGGTCCAATGGTCACAAACTCTTGGAAGACCGTTTTAGGCTAGACATAAGGAAAATCTTCTTTACTGTCCGAGTCCCCAGGGCCTGGAATAGACCCCGCCCAGAGGTGGTGCAGGCTCTACTCTGGATTCCTTTAAGAAACACTTAGATGCCTGTCTTGCTAGGATCATTTGACCCCTGCTGACTGCCTGCCTTTTGGGCAGAGGGCTGGACTCAACGATCTTGCAAGATCCCTTCCAGCCCTAATGTCTATGAAATCTATGAATTGTATCCTGCTGCATGTATCAGGAAATCTCTCACGCTACTTTCTGGACAGGGCCTCCAGTGTGGGGCACTACTGTTAGCTCAGGCATCTATCTCAAATAGATAATGCTGTGAGAGCAAAGAACTGAATGTTGACTGTATACAAATGCAGATCACGGTATGATTTGCGTGGGGTAGGGGCTTGAAAGATATTGTTGTGAATCAGAGCAGCCGCCGGCAGCCGCCTGACTCACACACCGAAGTGTTTAGATTTAGACGCAGGTGAGCCTTCGTTCCGTTACAGCTTCGGTTATAGAGTTGAGTATACGCATATAACTTTGGTTACAGAGTCGAGTACACGCACGCAGTCAGGTTACAACGGGATAATGACGGACGTGGCGCCGGAACGAACGGTCGAGCTTGCAAGACTTCCTACGTCAATATTTTACGCTGACGGGGTGATTGATTGGGAATTGATCAATTTCCCAATTCTCTGGTGACAAGCACAGGTGTTTTCTGTGAGATCCCCAGAGCTCTCCGACTTGGGTGGAAACCGTTAAACTATTTATAGGCAGAGGTGTTTTACAGGGATACCCAATGGTGAACCGTTATATGGAATCTTTAATTTTTGGCAGGTGGCAGCTCTTTGTCTCCTCAAGTTACAAGGTAGTGGGTTAGGTTTCTCTACCTGTTACGTGTGTGCTACGTGTGAGGAGCTTACGTTTATCTTTGACCAATTATATATAGTTTCCCCTAGCATTTGATTTCAGCTGACCAATTATCTACAGTACTCTGGCCGCATTTTGTTTCAAGGAATTTTTGGCAGGGATGTCTTTTACCCCTTAATCGTCAAAATGAGGATGATTTGAATGGTATCTCTTGCTCAGTGACATGGGCACAATTTAATTGGGTTGTGACAGATATGTTGTCATATCCTTCTGAAAAAGGAATTGGCTTGGAAAAGAGATTTTCTCTGTAAAGTGGAAGGAAGGAAAGCCCTTTCCCCTCCTATGCTTAGGCAGTGCTACCAGCCTTGTCTGGACCTTTGTCAGCAGTGCTGCAGGTCAGGTTTTTGGGACAGGGCAATATCTGGATGTGCAAGGGACTGGTATGCTAATGTTAATTCAAGGGGTACCTTGCTGAGGGGTGGGAAGGGCACATCTTTCATAGGACTCAAAATCCAATGCCAGGACTGCAACTTATGTGACATGAAGCCGTTGCCTGTTCAGCAGTCCCAAAGCTGGGTAACTGCCCTTTCTTCCACCTGGGTTTAATCGCCTGTGTCAACATCTTGCACAACCACTCCTAGGCCTCCTCTATCGAATGCCTTGACCACTCCACCTCACAGGGTGCAAGAAGCTTTGCTGTGCATTCAGAGACATAAGCCACGGCTGACCTTCAAAACTGGGTGAATACAATAGGGATGGGGCCACGCTCTGTTCTGCAGGGTTTTGAGTAACACAAATTCTGTTTCCAAGAATGTATTGTCTAACAAGACAGACAGAGAGTGCATCTACACATTCATGAATTTGCCTTAGATACTGCGCATTTAGTTTAGTACTTGCTTAATAAAGTACTAAGGGCTCTATACATGTGCATGGAGCCTGCTCTGATGTGCTGGAAAGCCAGCGCATTGGACTAGACTCGATTACTTGAGTTGGCTGGACCATGGAAAGCGATGCGCTCCAGCAGCCTTCCATGTCACACGTATCAGCATTGCCACCCATCTCCGCGCTGAAAAAATAGCAGCAGTGTGCTTTGAAATAAAACACGTTCAATGAACTTTAGTTCAAAGCATCTCATTGCCATTTTTTCAGCACAAGGACATGTGGCAACACTGATACACATGATGCACGGACACTTCTAATTAGCACAGCTTGTAAATTAAACCGCCTGGCGCTGCATCCCACAGCGTGTGTAAAAATGCCCTAAATGTGCAATAACTAGAGTTACTGTGCAGCAGCATCAACACACAGTTATTTTGTGATGCTTACTGCACAGTAGCCTAATAACACTGTGCAGTAGATTATTAACACAGTTTTTAACCACCATGCTACTGCTCAGTGTTATTAGGCTAATGCACAGTAAGTGTCTTGTGTAGATGTGCCCAGACAGTGGGAGAAAGTAAGTTTTATTATCCTTATTTTGCAGATTAGGAACAGAGAGATTGAAACTTTCTCAAAGTCTCACTGGGAATCTGTAGCAAAGTGAACTTCTTGCACCTAGGTCCCTATCCAGTGCTTTCAGCACAGAAATGCTTCCCTTCAAATGCCTCTCCCCATCTTGTCTCATGAGAAGCCTCTCCATATTGTGAAGCCTCCCTCTTTCATTTTGTGTTGTGAATGCTATGGTGATAGGTGCTAATCAGAAACACAGATTACGTAGAGGATGGTTGGTTCTCAATAGAACGATTTGTGATGCTGAGAAATGTCCATGGGGAACTAAATGACCATTATGAAATAAAGACTTTCTGTCTACCCACCTGGTCTTTATTTGAAGCAGTAAATGCACTACAGCTCATTAATAAACTTAGCCCTCCAGCTCCCTCTGGCACTTAAATGTTAGGATGAGATGAAGCATAAAACTAGCCAGCTGTCAGTTTTAAATAGTTATATAATAACATTCATGAACCTTTCAGAATGCTGTCATTGCCCTGAAAAGTACAATGCCAGGCTCTGGTTGCCATATGAGTGGAAGGGGGAGTCTCATAGAAGAGCAACACAATCTAAGCTAAAGTGCCTATCCAGATAGCATGTAAATCAGACAGATAACTAGGGGAGGAATGGCGGAGGTAGGAATGGGAAAAGGAGAGATGAGTCGCAAACACCAGGTGTTGCTTAATACAGTTTGGGATTGCTTTAAGGGTCTATTTGTTGTATCCGATAGAGATAGAAAATCGTGCCCAACCAGTGATTAGCACTGGAACATTGGCTGGCAGGAGTAAGTTTGCAGAAGGTTCTGAAATAGTTTTTCTCTTATAACAAGAAAAGTATCTTCCGGGCCAAGGGATGTGAAAAAGGCTAAGAGCAACAAATGGATGATCACTAGAAGAGTGGCAGTAAGTTAAACTGAGTTAGCAGAGCATAGAGTATGAGATGTGGGTAGGAGGAAATGAAAGCTGAGAACAGGGGAGAGGCAGAACTCTGGAATGAACATGAGGAGGATGAAGAAGTGTTTGGATTTGATATGGATGGACACACAAACTCTGGGAAGAGGATTGAGAGCAGCAGGAAGTAGGTGATTTGGACAGCAGCATTTGGTAGAGACTGGAGGAATGTGAACTATGTAGCTTCAGAGACATCTGAAGAATAAACACTTTTTGCACAATAGGGTTTTCAGTTTTGTTTAGGTTTTTAAACCCATGTTGTTCACTGCGGCATATGAACTTCAGGATAGAGAAGAAGGATCTGATTCTAGAGCCATTGTAAAATAGGAAGAATCAAATGGATTTGGTACTGGATATGAATGGAGATCAGTTAAACAGAATGAAGAATTGACTATGAGACTGAATTGCAACTTTAAGTGACAATAAAATAGATGACTTACCAATGAAGACAAAACATGGATGCCATCCAAAGGCAGTCCCTTAAACATGTAGGGCTGAACTGTTTAAGGCCTTGTAGGTCAAAATTAACATCTTGAATTGTACCCAGAAAGCTACTGAGAACCAGTACAGACTCTAATGTAGAGGAAAAAAAGGTGGGGACTCAGGGCAGAGTCCTAAGATAAAGAAGACTCTGGAGAAGGTAGAAACATGG